GGCTTCACAGCCTACCGTAGAAATTCGTAACTCTTTTAGCAATTCAACTAATGACACAAATTTTTCCCTTTTTTCGGAGCAAATATACAATTATCATCGTAATGCACCAGTGGTTAAAAGAATTCCTAGAGGTGCGAGGATGCAGCTTGCTAAAGCGTTGTCATGCACTATTCAAAATTGTTTCACTAATAGTGAAAATAGTTGGCAAAAATTATTTACTTTCGCTTATTCTCAAATTCATTTTGATAAAACAATAAATAAATCAATTACATCTCAACTAAAAGAGACATCTTTTCAAAATTTAGATTACCCAATTAATACTCATTTATCTCGACCACGGCCTAAATTTGATTTAAAAAAAGTAGTTGAGTCGAAAGTAATGGATGGCGACTTAAAAAATGCATCCCGTATTTTATTCTCAGATGACATCCTGGCTTCTCGTAATGTCTAAACTCTTGAAAGCCTTCGTCAGAAGCATCCTTCGATCAAACCTTCTCAGGGTTTACCGCTGCCTCCCAAGACTTCTATGCAATCTTTACAAATTTCTGAAAAAGAAACTTTAGAAGCAATTATGTCTAGCTTGGCAGGAGGATTGGCAACTGCAGTTATTTTGCAGACAAACTATGTGGGAGGTCTATGTTCAGCTATGGAGGACATTTGCTAGGCTGTAAATGTATTAATTAACAATATCTAAAGTTTAATATGTACATTTTTTTTAATGTTTGAAAAAGATAACATATTTAAAATATTATAATTTATTTTTGTGTCTTGTTGTTTCCCCATAAGTGATATAAATTTGATCTTGTTGGTAATTATGATTTTTGTCATTGTTCTGTATGTATTAAAAATTGAATAGCATTGCTTAATTTATTTATGGTTCTTGACTTTTTATTTTCAAATTTCTCTGTTATCATTCTGTATTATTATGACTTGTAATAATTTTATTGTAATTTATATTAATTTTCTTTGTGTAATTTGATTGCATGACAATGACAAAATATTTAATTATAGATAGATTGATTAAACATAAATTCTCATTTACAAATGTAGGAACTTTATCTGTACTACCATGTTTTATGCAAGTAAAGATTTAAATAAAATAAATAAATAAATAATTTTAAGTCCTGACTTAAATATACAAATGAATAATTTAAGATGCAATAATAATTGTAAAACTGACTGGAAATGCCTACCAATGAGATATTTAGTCCCCCCTTAATCCTTTTTATAAAGGTGTTATAAACAATAATGTGGAAATAAATTAAGAAATAAATAATTTATTAAGTATATATATATATACTGCCTTCTAATCAGATTTTAACAACCAGCACCCAAGAGTTTCTGCCATGCAAAATTATACATCAAGTTTAAAAATGCATATTTTTGAGAAATTCTAAAGCTACTCATACCAAGAATTACAACGAATGCTCTAGAAAGAAGACAAAAATTTTGTTGTTTATTAATGTGATGAAAAATTAATAAGTAATCGTATATTTATTTTAATTTTATTGGATTATATTTAATAATATAATTGTGTTTTCATTTGTTTTACTTAATGTTACATTGTTAATATTTCTAAATTTTGTGTAAGTACACAAAATTTAGTCCTTTTTCCTTTACAGTCTATCTAAAATCCACTGCCGAACATAGTTATTTGCCATAGTTGCAACGCTTGGCAAGCGGGTTGGCAACCACTGTTTTTTTTATATTTAGCTGTTCATCAGGAAAATGCTGCCGTTAATCTTCTTAGTTTTATTCTTGTGTTTATTTTAAGTTTTCATCAGGAAAGTGCTGCTGCCCCATCCCCATCTTGTACTATTGCTTACGGCGCGGGGTAGTATCATCCCGTGTATAGACAAATTCTCTTTTATGCTACAACTTGCTGCACACAAGCCTTAACCTTAGTAATTAATTTTTAAATTTATTATTTTAAAAATTAACTTAACCTTTGTAAGACATGCAGGAAATCGCGGAAGTTAGCTCAGAGCCGTGTTTTGTACTACAAAACCTAAGTGGAAGCCTTTTTTTTCCTTTCGGAGGTCTGTGTTTAGCACTGAACTTGTGATGGACTCGTATGTTAAAACATTATTGAATTTTAACAACATAAAATTCGACACAAGGAAAGTTTTGATAATTAATTACCTAATATTTAAGTACATATTTTACATACTCCTACTTATTAGCGATATCACACTTTGTGCTAGTAGCATCTTCACTTAGTGCCGTCGAAATCCAAAGAGTTTATTAAATGTCCAGTAAAATCGTCGATGCGCCGTTGAATTCGGAATGATGAATCTGTTTTTACGTCGTTTCCGTCCGTAGTTTTTAGTCACAGAATGTATTTTCAAGATAAATGAATTAATCATCTGAATTATAAAGAACTTTTTTTTTATGGTAACAAATAAGTTTTTTGTATGAATTAAGTGCTGTGAATATAAATAAACCCAGATTGGGGGAAATGGAATAATATCTGGTAACCCAGGGAAAGTACTTCCCGCCTATTTCTATCTCAAAAGCATACGCGAATGCTTTATCTAGTCAATCCTCTATCTACGTTTATAAAACGTACTCTGTGGTACTTTTTATTCTGTCAGTTTCACTTGTTTTGGCGGGGACTTGACCGGTGGCGTATCTACTCATTAGAGATGAGTCGTACTAGGTAAATTTTGAACTAGGTGCACTTGGTCGAATACCGTACAAATACTCGATCCAAATATCTGTTCCACTTAGTCTATGAAGTACGCATAAAGTTTGATATTGTTAGAATAGCTTACACTTTGAAGTATGCTTAGTCTTTACTTAAAACCGATACGTGAAGGTTATGAATAGTAATCATCCATTCATACTTTATATAGGCTTAATACTGTCAACGTCAACATTTATTAACATTCTAGATTGTTGGCGTGTAAGGTTGCAATTGATTTTATTTTAAAGTAATCCGATTATTTTTTTTCTCTCTTTTTTTTAAATTATTTTTGTCTTTTTTTTTAATTATTTTTGTTTCATTTTTTAATTATCTGTCTACAATGATTGATTTATATACGCGCAAAAAATCAGACTTAAGAATTTTAAAAACTCAATTGTATTTTACAAATGTTAAACTCAGCCATTTGTTGGTATTTGTCCGTAATATGATGCCAAGCGACACTGCTTCCTTTAGAAGCCATTTTTTAAAACAATAAACACTTTAATGTTTCATGTCTAAATAAAAAATAAATCGAAAGTTCTTTAACCACATAACAACACTTCGTTACGAAAACCTATTGCTAAATAAGTTTAGTAGTATCTTAGGTTAGGCAACTATATATCTTACAGTCAATTTTAAAAACACATACTAACTCGCCATATGATCAAAAAAAAACATCTACACGGGGGAATCATAACGTTATTAAACAAATATTGTAAAATCTAAATTTGCTGAGAGACAGTACTGTGCCCAATCAAGATATATGTATAATTACTTAAATAAAAAATTAAACTTTCACCGGCTTAATTATCGCGAATGTAAAAAAATACTTACCGATCATCTTAAAAAATTATGTTATCACACCACAGAAAACATTCTACGTCACGGAATTAAATAATATATTTGTTTATCAGAATAGAATAGAATTAAATAAAATTACATAAAATAATAATAATAAAAATGCTTACACTTTTAAGCACCTACAATCACACGTACACACATATACTCACACGCGCACACTCACACACAAACACACACACACGCACTCACACCCACACACACACACACACACACACACACACACACACACACACACACACACACACACACACACACAAACACACACCTACTCTAAATCATAGGTAATCTTGCTCGGCTTATCTCAATATTTAATGTTATTAGGAAGAGCGGTGCCTCCTGACACAGGTATTCTTTTATACTTACTAGGAGGCTCCAATTACTTTCTTATTTAGTATGCCTTGAGAAAGAAATAAATGGATTTATAATTTTTAATTTTAATCAATACGGTGCCGAGCCGAGGTCACATTTGCATGAGTCCGTACTAGACACTCGACTGCATCATATGGTCTCCAATCTCCAATCGCATCGAGTATTTACAAGTAACTAGTGTATAAAATCTGCCTAGTATTTGGTTAAAGTCCCCGGGACTAGTCCCAACTAGTCTCGACGAGTATCGACAGGCAAAGATAGAGAGATTGCGGATTAGTGTAGTTAAAAAAGGACAGAATATATTCTTACACAACACGAGTGCGCGTTACGTTACTTTTATAGACATTGAAATACAGTTCAAATTCAAATGTCTGACACATGAATGATTTAGGAAAACACGAGTGGGCGGCAAAGCAGACTAGTAACTACGGCAACATAATGCTATCTCGCTTCGCCGTGCTGGTACTTGTTCGATTCGAGCGGGCCGCCACGCCAGTGCCGTGAGACGCGTAGGCACAGTAAGACTAGGTGGATCAAGTCTTTTAAAAGTTGGAACAGGTGCAACCTAGTCTCGTTTAATACCTAGTGCCTGGATCTGTTCTAGTATATTATACGCTTCATCTCCACCACTCATACTGAATTTTACCAAACCGCCACAAAAGGAAAAGAAAGAAAAGAGCGGCGGCGGATTGCTGCTCCTGTGTTATTGTTTAAATAATGGTTTGAAGTGGAATTTGATATATAAAAGTGGTGCAATTTTGTGTATTAAGTGTCTGCGCATGTGAACTATTAGTGAAAACGGTGAAACAAGTGCTCTGATGGTTATGTGATTCTCAAGATAAGGTGTCTGTCTGCTGTTTGTCTGCTTAGGCGCCTTGAGATACCATCGCCAACTGTCAGCTCAGCTGACTCAGCTGTCTGCTGGCTTAAGTTACCGTCAATATCTCCCAAGGGCTGCACTATGTGACGCATCAACATAACATATTGTGAAGCAGTTTACTATGAAGGATAATTATTATACATTGTAACTTCAGGCTAAGAAGGGCTAGAACCCAGAGCCGTGAAGCCAGCTATAAAAAATGTCAGTGTCACTTTTGTGACGACCTACTTTAATTTTTCAAAAATAAAAATAAAAAAATAAATTATGAAAAAAACAGTCAACTAAACAAACACAATTTTCGTATTTTCAATAATTACATCATCTTAGAAATGTGAGTATTTATTTCATCTTAAATAATTGTGGAACAAGAACAGTAGCTTAGTAGTAGTAGTATTAGTTATACTTAAAATAAAATTAAATAAAACTAATTTTTCGGATTTTACTTAGGTTTTCACTTATGTTTTATTCCCGACGTTTCGGGTGCTTGCAGTGGTATGCTTGGGTTTGGAATTATTAAATTTTACTATATGTATATAGGATCCCAAGCGGAAGATAACACCCAGCCATCTTTACAATTGAAATTTGGATGTTTTTAATTTAAATAGCCTCGCAAATAATCTTTGGTAGATTCGGTATTCTTTTACGAGGATTTTTCAAATATTATGAAATAGCAGGGATGATCTTGAACTTGAACATGTTTACAGATTGCAGACTCCTTTGGAGTGTTAGTGCTTAAAAAGTTTTGACTTTGATTTCCACTTTACAGCTTTAAAAATAAATAATTATAAATAGAAAATCTTTATAGAGAAATACACCTGTGTAGCAGCTTAAAAGAATCTATTACCCCACATATCATTTATCTATAGAAATAAATAAAATTGAAGTGTCTGTAATGTTAAAATAATAGCTTTTTACTAAATGCATATGAAAGCATATACAGTACTAATACCAAAAAACAATTATTAAAATTTTTATCTGTCTGTTCTGGCTAATCTCAGAAATGGGTGGAACTATTTTGACGGGAGTTTCATTGGCAGATAGCTGATGTTATAATGACTAACTTATCATACTTATATTTTAGAAAAAGAACCAGGATTCCACGCAAATAAATTAAAACCCATGAAATCGTAGTAAATTCCATGCAAGCGAAGTCTCTACTTGCTAGTAGAGAAATAAAACAGGTAATGGGTATCAACATCTTCCTGACACCTTAAAAACCGCATAGTCAGACCGCCCACCAAACATGGCAACTATGGCAAATAAACTTCTATGAGGCTACCTGTTTCAGAAATTCAGCAGTAGACTTTCATAGACTGTAATAAATAATAAATGATTACATATTATGCTTATTTGTATAATGTAATAATTTAATAATTACAGTTGTTGTTCACAAACCCGACATGTCAGAATGGAAGCATTTGATTACTGAATGGGTTAATGAATATGCATCATTGCAAGAAAATGAAATAAAAAGTTTTGCAGCAGAGCATGAACATAACCATGAGATTGCTACAGCAGTATTCAATCTGTTATACAGTGAAGATGATGGAGAACAACAATCCAGCCACAAAGATGAGGCCTATGAACAGGTTAAAAATGCCACTTATGAATATACTATTACAGGGTTAATAATTATAAGTACCCTGAGATGTGGTAGCTCAGGGGTAAAGCTCTCATTTTAAATTGAATAGGATGTAAGCAATCCATGCTTGATCAGCGCCAGCACGAATGAAACTGTAAATTGCAATTTTTAATGCTGATTTACCAAGTGATCAACAGTTAAGGAAAACATTCTGAAAAAATCGGTGATATATGTGAGAACTACAAAAAAACATTTTGAAGACATGTGAAGTTCGCCAACATGTATTGGGGCAGTGCTGCAGACATTTCCTTGCCCTGTAAACCTCTCAGAAATTAAAGGAGACCTGAGCCCAGCTATGGGACGTATATGGACTGTAACTTATTTCACTTTTTTAATATGCAATTGTTTTTTAGGAAAAAACAAACTATTTAATTATGCAGAAATTTTATGTATGTCTTTCTTTCAGGTGCTTGAAAATGTTTGTGTACAATTATTCAGTTTCTACAGATCAAAAGAAACTGAACTTCAGAGATTTACCTTACAATTTGTTCCAACCTTAATTTATAAATATTTAAGTTCAGTAGCACAAGGTAGTACTAAGAATTGTCGGTGTATAGAAACTCTCCTCATTGGTAAGAACTAATCTGTTCAATTTTGTAGTTTATAACTTTTTATGATTGTTCAGTTTTAATATAGTTAAATATTTAAATCTGTTTGAAAATTACAAAAACATTTTTATACTTGGAAATCTCACATGAATGTGATCAAGGATTTTATGTATAAAACTATATTATGCATTATTGGAAAGAATCAGTGTGAGCGTCCATTGTGGTCAAGTTCCAAAACTTAAGTGATACAAGAAACCAACTAGTATTCTGTGTGTGTCTGTCATTTAATCCCTCAAATGACTTACTGATTATGATTATTATTTGTATTGGTTGTTGTAATAAATTTCCTGATACTTCAAGAGATGTCAGTGCAAGTTAAGAAAATGTTAACCTTGTGTTATTTTTTATTCCAGGCCTCTATAACTTTGAAGTTGTGGATGAAAGTGGTAAACCAAAAGTAGTTTCTTTTAGATTGCCGTCTTTAGCCCAAGCTTCAATTTATCATGAGGTAATAAAAGCAATTTGAACTGTGGTAATGTTAATTAGAATAGAATATATTTACTCTTTATTGATTATTATTATTATGACTGAAAAATGTTATGTAGTTTAGAAATATTTTTCTGCCATGTAAGCCTAAATATTAGCCTATTAATATTATTAATGTTACATATTACCAAATTTAGGGAGTTCATAGGTAATAAAAGTTCTGATATCTGTGCTAATTAAAGGTAGATCTTTTTTACCTATTATGTTCTATTTGTACTATTGATAGTGTTCATTTATTGGAAGCCAGAAGGTCCTGCTGGAATTTTCCATAATCACACTTTATAACACGCACTAGATCCAATGGGCTAACAGATTTTCTTATACCCACGGCACATGGCATTGAAATATTGCAAGTAATTTTATTCTTCATTCCATTGATTGAAAAAATTACACTGTTCTTAAATTAACCAGCATGGTATACAGTGGCATTTTACTAACACTAATAATTTGCATAATGCCATTCTAACTCACATATCACTGTAATTATGTGTGTTAGAATATCAAAACTGCTTGTTAGAGCGGTAATAATGTGATATCCATTTTAGATACTATATTCTGATTGATATCAGTCTAAAGTATTATTGACAATACATATATATGTATGAAAAGGTTTTAAGAAGCCAATTTAGCTTTTCCTTCCATATGAGCATGGAACTAAAATGAAATGAAATGAACTTGACACAGCAGTGGAAGCAAATAGGAGATACGACAAAGGGTTCTTGTAAGCTGTGAATGTGCAAACCTGTGTCTTCTGAGGGTTAAACTGGATTAGATTAAGTCACTCCCAATCCAAGACTTTGTGTTTAACATAGTCAATTTCAGACACAAGCTTGTTCCGGCGCTTGACGATATCCATCCATCCATCCACCCATTATAGCCCTTCCAAAGTCCACCGCTGAACATAGGCCTCCCCCAAGGAATGCCACAAAGCAAGGTCCTGAGTCACCTTCATTTACGACTCTACATGTTGCCGATAAATATTGACTCTACTGCTCCTGCTCATCTATGTAGTCAGCTCGTCTAGTAAGGTAAATTAGAAGATGACCATCTGAGCTACCGCGATTCTCACACGGGATCCGTGTAAGCATGTCTGGAAGAAGCTAGTTAAGTCAGACCATATGCCAAACTGATAACCGAGAGCCATTAAATTTAGTGGGCATTGAAATCGCCAAGAATCATGATTATCGCGGATGGGATCTGTTGTATGTCGCATTAAATCTGTAGCCATTAAGATGTGGTTGCTGAGTCGGTAGATGACGTCATTACTGCTGTGGGACTTACAAAGGTACACATAGTCACAGGGATGGTCGTCACTGTCTACACGCAGCCAAAAGATGGACAGGTCTGTACCTACAAAACAGATATTCCCTCTGATGTATATGAAACTCAGTCCCAAGATACAAATGAGTATTTTTTTTTATAGGAGAGGGGGCAAACGAGCATGCGGCTCACCTGATGGTAAGTGACTACCGCCGCCCATCAACAACCGCAACACCAGGGGGATTGCAGGTGCGTTGCCGGCCTTTTAAAAAGGAGTAGGTTCTTTTCTTGAAGGTCCCTAAGTCGTATTGGTCTGAAAAAATTACTGGTTGTAAACTATTCCACAAGGAAGTTGTGCGAGGAAGAAAACATCTTCTAAATCGCACAGTGGTGGACCGCTAATCATCCAGATGCGGATGGTATCGGGAGTTCTGCCGCGACGTGCGTTCGTGAAATTTGGCGGCTGGGATTAATCCGAACAATTCCTCAGAGCACTCCCCAATATCTTGGCAAGGAACAGCAAGGTCGGCTTGGCCGTCTCCATATGATGATGGATAGCGTCAAGGTTAAAGTGAAGTCCCTAAAAACAGAAAGTCCCCAAATAAAAGGCCAGATTTAGATTCATTACTCTGTTCGTCCCGTGCAGTTTGTGTATAGAGCGGAATTTATGGAAATTTAGTGAAAAGATTCTAATTTAGTACTATATATTTAATGTATGTAACTAATTATCTCTGGCTATAGTTAATCGAAGACTCTTCTGCAAACTTTATACAGATCCGATCATAATTTGAATGTTTTACCACTTGTTTCAGCCATTATCACTGGGGTCGCAGTTCTTAACTGAAAGTGCATTAAGGAGATGGGAGGAATGTAATACTAAACTTGTAAGCTGGGGACCATTATCCCAGGTGGAAGTAATTAATGCACAAAATCGTTTGAAAGTGATGGCTGCTTTACTATTTATTTATAACAGACAATTAAGCTTATTGCCAAAACTAGCACTAAGACATTTTTGTATCGCCGCTTCAAGGTATTATTTTTTTAATTAAATAAACATTTGTATTAAAAATGAGAAAGTTAAATTGCTAAGAATAAACAAAATGGTTTGTATTACTAAATATGAAAAGTACTTCCCTCACTCCCGCAGTAGCTTTCATTATCACTGCACAACAACACGTCAAACTCATACTACATTTAGGGCTACTAAACAACTGTACTTCTTTAGCTAATAAAGATTTTTTTTTATAAGTATTCTAAATATTTTTAATCAATATAATATTTAGAATATCTGCATCATGACATTGTGCAATGCAAAATAAAGCTTTTATGCTATCGGACCTACATACAATCTCAACAATACCTTGGATTTCACGGTACTAATTATTTTATGTAACAGGTTTCATAGATATTGAAATTATTATCGTAAAATCAAATTAATCATGCATAAAACTGGTTTCGTATTGTAAATCCCGATGATGTCAATGGTCGCCAGACCCGGAATGGCTACAGTGTTAATAAGTAATAGCCCTGTTTACATCGGACAGGGGATTTTTAGGCACTGTATAAATTATTTTGAAATAAATAATATTTACAGGATTGTGACACAAGGATTTCAAAAGAAAATTGGGACTTCAAAATCTATCCCGCGAATACCAGTGTCGTCCAATTTCTTACTAGAAATGGTAGAAGGAGCATACTTTGCGATGTTCAATGAATTTTATACTTTAGCATTTCAAGCATTAACAGATATAGACCAGAGGGCACAATATGAACTGTTTCCTGATGTTATGCTAGTAACTAGTGCCGTAATAAATTCTTTGAAGAATAATCCAGCAGGTGGGTAAAAATCAAAATGTTCGAACAATATTTGTTTATGATATTTTATTGACATATTTTTATGGCACAGGTCAACCCTGTGATGGTCCAATGGGTATAAGTGTAGCACTCTCACCAGCAACAACTACGGTTACAATGTCTAAATCTATGATTACTAATGCTTCTTTCCGTACCAAAAAATTACCAGGTAAGAAATTGATCTTATTCTTTAATATTACTTATATGGATAATTGTATTTGTATCTTATTATAAAATAATATTGCAACATGCAGTTGCAAAAATGTCTATAAGACTAAGAAATAGATCTATTTCGATGTCAATTTCGCTTGGTTTGTTCGCAAAGATACTTAAAGGTACGAAATTCGGGTGCACAATTATCTGTCATAAATTTAGTTATTAAGTTTAGTTATACATAATTAATGTCTCAATTATGACAACTATTCCTGATCATCCACCACTAGAATGAACGCGCGACGAACCTAGACATAGAAATCTCGCTAGTACTCTAGAGCTACGTAACGGGCTACATAAAAGCATAATATACATATCAACACAATTTAGGAATATTTTTATTCTTAATGTATTGTAAAAAAAACCTACAAAAAATTTCTTGAAACATACACATTATAATATACTTATATGTATCCAATCCGAACGCAATAATCCGTACTCTAACAGGAAATCAAATAAAAGTTCTTATATTTCTTTGCTTTTACAGTAAAAGATTATGAAATTGTCCTTGGAAGATTTTCTATAGTTATAGTGATTAAAATAAGAAACAAAATTCAATAGCACATTATATATTTAAAAAAAAAAGCACTTAAGATGTTAGCAACGCATCTGCATTATTTATACTCGAAATGAAGTTAAGAATATCTCTTTGTGGGATAACTGCATGAAAAGTTTGCGTTCTGTCACCAGATTTTCGGGAAAAAATCGTAAAGCCTTTCCTTGAAGCATATCAGTGTAACACATCCAAAGGAAAGGTGACATTTAAATGTACAATATGAGAATGAAAATATGCAATAAAATTGATTTGGAGTAAGAGTAAATTGATTTGGAGAAAGATTAAGTGTCAACCACGTACATCAAATGTAACTGAACGAATTAGAAGACTCTCCGTACTATTCAAAAACCTAAGTACAGTTGCTCCAAATAAAGTGCTACTACAAACAATTGCACATTGCTCCCAAAACATATTGTTCACGCACCTAGTTGCCCACACTAAGGTCTACCAGACAGGGGCCCATACAGCTGTTAGGTTCGACGAACAACTAAGTGTGGGGACCCAACTGGCCATATGGAAAATGTTCTATCCTACTACACTTTAATGGGAAGGCTAGTCAAATAAAGAGTACTTACCTGTATCTGAGGCGACGACTGTCTCAAGGTTCGGTCAGGACAGAGGTGTGTATGTGCATGTGTAGTGGTGTTTTTAGTGGTGTGGATTGTGGTTGACCTGACTGGACCGTTGAAGTCGGCAGCTACCCGGACTCCGGCACCGCTCCAAATCATGGTAATCTCCAGCGGCGTCACCCACGGTCAATTTCTTTCTTCTTCACTATGTCAGTTTATTAACTTTATCGTACAATTAACTAACTTCAAGACGCAACTAACTCCCGTTTATTATAAAGCGTAACACGCGGCACGACTCGTAGGTCAAGTTCACCTTCGCTCACTCCGCAACAAATTGTTTCGAAAACCAAACGCGACCCTTTAAGGCGCTTGATGCTACTGTACAATTAAACACTAACTTCTAAATAATTAGACAACCTGGCAACTAATATTCTAGACTACACGCTTATTCTTCGCTGCACAAATTCGTTAACAAAATTCGGCGACACGCGGCTCGAGTCGATTCACAGTAAGCAATGCTCGACTCCGCTTGACGACAAAATTACCGGATCTACCCCTCAAACCGCGCGGGCGGGGAGGTGCCAGCTAGCCGCCTACATTGACGAAGCGCGCTAACTAGTCTCAATTATACAAATTTTAAATTTTAACGTTTGGCACAAACATACCCCCGTCCCGGGCATAGGGACTTTGTCCGTGAGTAAATTGACAAACGGGATATGAACTCGACATATTTGTCGCGAAAGGCTGGGTCGCGCCACATGCGCCGCTCCATGGAAAGCAACCTCTTCTCGGCCAGTGCACGAGATTGACCCAAAGGGGGACGTGAGTCCAGAAAGGGTAAGCGAGTGACGAAACGACCGTCGACACGACGGCCGGTATTGTTCTGGTAGAACAACTCGCACTCACGGTCCAGAGGGTTGACTCGAGCCGCATGTGGTGGTTCCTTCATTTCCCAAAACCTCTGGACGACGTCCGAAAGGGACACGTCCACAACAGTAAGCGCAAAAATTTCTCGTAGTCCGCGAGGCAGGAGTCTAGGACTTCCTGTTCCGCATCCGAGGCCAAAAGCTCTGTGCAAGCCTCCTCCACTACAGCCCTTCGGGCATCGACCTACTCGAGCCGCTTCCCTAAACTATGAACCCGATCAGGTTGACCTATCAAAATATGGGCGTTCGCGGCCCAGCGCAGCTCCGCCTGCAGGCGAAGCGCCGGTTGCTTGTGCGACGGCTTCACTAATAAATACAAACTAATGCACAAAACACAAAAAAAAAACAAATCAAATTAACTAATAACAAACACTAGTACGATCAAATTAAGTTAAATACAAATTACTATTTATTAAATTAAATACAAGTTACACTACAATTAAAGGTACACACTACAGTCAATCAGCAAAATGCCTCGCTCAACAACCGACCCTAGTCAAAGTACCTAGCCTTAACAAACTACGGTAAATACCTAGCCTTAACAAAACTACGGGCGTTGTCCTTCTTCTACCCGCCAACAACAAAAAAAATATTTATAAATGTAATTTTTATTACGTACTATTTTTATACTATATATTATATTATTAATATTAATATTACGGCCGTGGCGTGATTGGAAATCAATCAGCCGCGCTCTTGCTACCAGAAATGTTCATGCACCTAGTTGCCCAGACTAAGGTCTACCAGACAGGGGCCCATATAGCTGTTAGGTTCGACGGACAACTAAGTGTGGGGACCCAACTGGCCGTATGGAAAATGTTCTATCCTACTACACTTTAATGGGAAGGCTAGTCTAAATAAAGAGTACTTACCTGTATCTGAGGCGACGACTGTCTCAAGGTTCGGTCAGGACAGAGGTGTGTATGTGCATGTGTAGTGGTGTTTTAGTGGTGTGGATTGTGGTTGACCTGACGGGACCGTTGAAGTCGGCAGCTACCCGGACTCCGGCACCGCTCCAAATTATGGTAATCTCCAGCGGCGTCACCCACGGTCAATTTCTTTCTTCTTCACTATGTCAGTCTATTAACTTTATCGTACAATTAACTAACTTCAAGACGCAACTAACTCTCGTTTATTATAAAGCGTAACACGCGGCACGACTCGTAGGTCAAAGTTCACCTTCGCTCACTCCGCAACAAATTCTTTCGCAAACCAAACGCGACCCTTTAAGGCGCTTGACACTACTGTCCAATTAAACACTTACTTCTAAATAATTAGACAACCTGGCAACTAGTATTCTAGACTATACGCTTATTCTTCGCTGCACAAATTCGTTAACAAAATTCGGCGAAACGCGGCTCAAGTCGATTCACAGTAAGCAATGCTCGATTCCGCTTGGCGACAAAATCACCGGATCTCTCCCGCGCTCCGCGCGGGCGGGGAGGTGCCACCTAGCCGCGTATATCGACGAAGCGCGCTAACTAGTCTCAATTATAGAAATTTTAACTTTTGGCGCAAACACATATCATATTAAAGCTCAGCGAGTTCAAACATCTAGACCGAAACTAATATCCAACCAGAAACAAAAATGTGAAAAGAGTATCAATTTCGGTACAAACGAAATTAGTCCCAGCAAACGCCAGCTTGATTGTGCGCACAATTATTGGCTTCTTATTGCCAAGCCTAAAGCTTATCAGTCTGCCGATGAATGCCCTTGCATTTGTGATATTGTCTTCATTTCTTTTTCTCCACGCTGGGATAGCGCTACTTTGTCTAATAGTGCAACCAGCCGTTGAAAGCAGCGCCAATGATATGATAGACTTCAAATGCGGTGCCAAAAACATTTGAATCGCTAAGATCCAAGCTGGCTTCCAGATAGGTTACGAGTATTTAGATTTAGAGCCCTCACAACAACAACACCGCACTTCGGCTATTAGCCGTAACCATTGAGTTATATGTAATACGTACTAGAGAAGCCTTTCTAAACAAAAAATGTGTACTACTCTATATCTTCGCGCATGCTTGCATCATTCTTGCAAGCATGCGCGAATCATGCATGCATTCTTACTTGACTACTGAATTGTTATTTACGTCCAGGTTTAAACTTTAATTTGAAATCTTGTATTATTAGCGCCGCTCCACACTGCTTGAATATTGAAACCACAGAGTAACTAGTAGATTGAAACTATACTAAATGACACACTGTACGGATTGCAGTACAATTCAGTTGAACATAGTGTATGCTCGGAATGCGGAATCTAGTACGTAGTTACATATATATCGATGGCCGTAACATACATACATATAATTCTTCTGCCCGTTTGTATGTGACTGAACTCCTCTTCAACACCTGGACCGATTTTGATGAAATTTTGGAAGATGTGATTAAGTTTATTCGAGTATGGCTTAGATTCACAATTGGACATGGTAGGTGACGCTGTTGTCGAAATTAAAAAATCGCCCGTGCAAAAGACCATTTCGCTATCTTGAATATTCACGAACTATAAAATAATACGGATCGATCATTCTAGGTATTTGATATCTATCGGTCAACATATTTACACGTTTTATTAAATATCTTTTTATGTCTGATATTTTTTTTTAACTTTTCACTGACATATTTCAATTACAGATTGAAAAATTTTTGAAATCAAAAAGTTATTTATCCACACTAGTGATCTTAATTTTTTTGTTTCTTTTATTTCCAGGTATGCCTACAAAATTATTTGAATTTTTAGTATGTACCCGAATAAATTTAAAATGTGTAACATAAACAATTATGTGTAATGCATTAGAATTTGTACCCCCTTTTAATATATTTAGTTTATATACATATTGTTATTTAACTTTTTGTCTTGGAATTTTATGATATAAGTTATTTTTAGGTTGTATAAAAAGGTTAAATTTATTGTAACCATCATTTAAAGATAATTTATTTTATTTATATTCCAGACGATATTCCTATACAGACAGGGCAAGTGGCGCCCACAGAATCGCCAGACATGCTTACATCAATTACCGAAGAAGGAGAAGCAGACGCAGCACCTATACAACGAGGCGCAGTTGTTCGCAATTCCAAACCTAAGTTAAGTTCGTTTCCTGTTTTGGGCAAAAAGTCTAAAGACGGAAAAGAGAAAGCGGTAACGACGAATGAGAAAAAACTTCCTGGTAAAGATTCTTCTAAAGGCATATGGAATTCGCTGAGCAGCGGTGGTGGCGACATGGTGGATTCACAGCAAAAAACAAACGCCTCAGACAGTTCTTTCGACGCTAACAGTAGTCTGAAAGACGAAATGTCTTTGTCTTCAATTCATAATAGTGGAGAGAATTCTGACGCTCGGTCTCAGGTCACTACTGACTCGTTAGATTTGGAAACACCAACATCTCGCTTCGCCGCTATGCAAGTCAGCTCCGTCTAATCTACCGATTTAAGATCATTTAAGATGTTTTTTTCTGTAATAATGCTTAGTATTTGGTGTTTGTTATCATTATATTCGTATTGTACAAAAACAAAAAGTGTAAAGTATGAGGATGATATGTTTGACAGTACTTAAAAGCAAAAGAAATACATAAAAAATTGAAATATAGGTTACTGGAGATCTTTTATGTCCTGCCAATGTGTTATTAATTATTATGCATTATTTAAACATGTTGTTTTAAATAATTAAACTACTTAAAATAACGAAAACACTTTTCATTACTCTCCTCACATTAGACCCTGTAATCAGGAAGGTTACTACTTTACTATATTATGCTATGTAGATATAAAGTTAATCGCCCTAATTTTATAGTTCAGGAAATAATTTTTGTGATGATATTATTATCATAAATTTGGAAAATATAAAATTATCAACATCAGAACAGGCATACGTCGTCCTCGTGTAGACGTTATATTTAATTTATTTGTTTTGCCGATGTCGCAAAAAATAAATGTTAAACAGCTTTGTTTAAAAAGCTGCAGAAGGATAATAATTATGTCGGAGATAGAGGGTAGATACCATTAATAAAAAGAGGTAAAACCCCTACTCAGGTAGACATCGAAACCCCATCTCAATCATTGAGTTATAATGTACTACGTACTACATTGTAACTCAATGATATGAAGTATAGAGTAGAAGGAGGACCTCTGTATAAGAATAAGTGTCCGTAAAAACGCGTCCAATTAGTGTGGCGCTGCGGTAGCATAGGATAAATAAAAGAAAGCGCCAAAAGTAATTAGAAAAAGATCGAGAAATAAACAAGGACCGACCAAAGGTTTTGTATTACGTAAATAGTTGAGCTTCCTCATCCGGCCAGCAGGGAAGGACCACGTCTCAGTTCCATAGGTCATCACTGGCAACACGCACTGGTTGTACAGTCTCGTTTTCAAGTTTTGAGGTATACCTGACGAGAAGATGTGCCGTAATTTCCCGAACGCTGCCCAAACGAGTTGAATCCGTCGATTGACCGCTCGGTCGAAGTTGGAGTTACCTAGACGGACTATTTGTCCCAGGTAGACATACTCGTCAACAACTTCTAGCTTAGTGCTCCCAACAACTACCGGCATAGGTGTGACATGGATATTAAACATGATCTTTGTTTTATCCATGTTCATCTTAAGACCTATCCGTTGGGAAACACTATTGAGGTCATTGAGCATAGTGCTTAGGTCCTCCAGCGATTCTGCCATAAGGACTATATCTTCGGCAAATCGAAGGTGAGTGATATACTCACCATTGATGTTAATACCGTATCCTTTCCAGTCCAAAAGCTTGAAAACGTCTTCCAATGCAGCGGTGAAGAGTTTCGGGGATATAACGTCACCCTGTCTTATCATCATCATCATCATTACAGCCCTTCACAAGTCCACTGCTGAACATAGGCCTCCCCCAAAGAATGCCACAAAGCACGGTCCTGAGCCACCTGCATCCATCGACTTCCTGCATGTCTTACCAGGTCGTCACTCCATCTCGTGGGGGGACGCCCTACACTTCGCCTACCGGTACGAGGCTGCCACTCGAGAACCTTTCTTCCCCATCGGTTGTCGGTTCTTCGAGCTATATGGCCGGCCCATTGCCACTTCAGCTTACTAATCCGTTGGGCTATGTCGGTTACTCTGGTTCTACTGCGGATATCCTCATTCCTAAGTTTATCACGCAGAGAAACTCCGAGCATAGCCCTCTCCATAGCTCGCTGAGCGACCTTTAGCTTCCTCATCCGGCCAGCAGTGAAGGACCACGTCTCAGTTCCGTATGTCATCACTGGCAACACGCACTGGGTGTACAGTCTCGTTTTCAAGGTTTGAGGTATACCTGACGAGAAGATGTGCCGTAATTTCCCGAACGCTGCCCAACCGAGTTGAATCCGTCGATTGACCTCTCGGTCGAAGTTGGACTTACCTAGTCGGACTATTTGTCCCAGGTAAACATACTCGTCAACAACTTCGAGCTTAGTGTTCCCAACAAATACCGGCATAGGTGTGACATGGACATTAAACATGATCTTAGTTTTGTCCATGTTCATCTTAAGACCTATCCGTTGGGAAACACTATTGAGGTCATTGAGCATAGTGCTTAGGTCCTCCAGCGATTCTGCCATAAGGACTATATCGTCGGCAAATCGAAGGTGAGTGATGTACTCGCCATTGATGTTGATACCGTATCCTTTCCAGTCCAGAAGCTTGAAAACGTCTTCCAATGCAGCGGTGAAGAGTTTCGGGGATATGACGTCACCCTGTCTTACGCCTCTCTGCAATTGGATAGGTTTCGTACTCTGGTTCTGTACTCGGATAGCCATCGTAGCCCTACTGTACAAGCACTTCAACACTTCGATATACCGACAGTCAACTTGGCACCGCTGAAGGGACTGCAGCACCGCCCAAATTTCGACGGAATCAAAGGCTTTCTCATAGTCCACATACGCCAGACATAGTGGCAAATTGTACTCTTCGGACTTCTGTACAATTTGCCGAAGGGTATGTATGTGGTCTATGGTGCTAAAGCCCTTTCGGAAACCGGCTTGTTCGGGAGGCTGGAAGTCGTCAAGTCTGCGCGCGAGACGATTCGTAATGACTCTCGAAAACAGCACGTAGACGCGGCTCAGAAGGGAAATCGGTCTGTAGTTCTTCAAGAGAGCGTTGTCACCTTTCTTGAAGAACAAGACCACCGCACTTCTGCTCCACGCCTCCGGTGTAATGCCACCATGGAGGACGGAATTAAAGAGCTTCTGAAGGACTTCAAGTACCGGTTTTCCACCCGCTTTCAGAAGCTCCGCTGTAATTCCATCCTCGCCTGGGGCCTTACCGTTTTTAAGGTGCTGGAGAGCCATTCTAATCTCGCTCAGACTGACGTCCGGGATATCTTCGGAATAGTGTCTGATGAGACTCGCTCTTGGATCGTTACTCACACTTACGTGTGGCTCTAACAATGATGTGTACAGCTGGCCATAGAACCTCTCAATCTCACTCAAAATCTCAGGTGACCCGGAAACGATGCTGCCATCCTCGGTCTTCAGCTTCGACAGTTGGCTCTTTCTGGCAGACAGATCTCTAGTAAAGATTTTGGAGCCCTGGTTCCCCTCGATCGCTTCTTTAATACTAGCAGTATTAAAGTTGCATAAGTCTCGCTACATGCATTTGGAGATCTGTCTGTCCAGTTCCTCGTATGCTGTCAAATCTACTGAAGACTGCAGCTTCATATCCCGTCTAACAGCCATGAGATTAAGAGTGTGATCGGAGAGTTTTTGTGTTCTTCTGCGGATTAGTAAGCTGAAGTGGTAATGGGCCGGCCATATAGCTCGAAGAACCGACAGCCCATGGGGAAAAAAGGTTCTCGAGTGGCGGCCTCATACCGGTGGACGAAGTGTAGGGCGTTCCCTACTAGATGGAGTGACGACCTGGTAAGATATGCAGGAAGTCGATGGATGCAGGTTGCTCAGGACTGTGCTTTGTGGCATTCCTTGGGGGAGGCATATGTTTAGCAGTGGACTTGTGAAGGGCTGTAATGATGATGAAATAATTGAGGTTTTGTATACTGGTATTTTACTAACTACTCGAGTCATGAAATTTTTTATATATTTGAATTCAGCTCACTTCACTCCGTCTACAACAGCTATATTCATATTGTAGTTTTTCAGACGCTAGCGTTATTGTGGTAGGTTTTGGAACCTCTATTTTCAGTATACAGTTGGACACTTTTTCAACTTTCCCCCCATATGAGATGGTTCTCCTTCTACTCTATACTCCATGCTCAATGATCTCAATTTAGCGTTTTTTTTTAATTAAGATTTTTGGCTTGGATGTTAGTCCCTTAAGCCATTCAATTTAGCAGTAAAAAAATCGCCGTAGGCGATGTGCTTTAAAATTAATTGGTTGTTTTGTTCGTCGTAATTAATATGCGTAATACGTGAGCAATGGAAAATAAGAGCGCTAAATTCACGTTCACACAAATATGACAATGGGAATGCTATCGAAAATCGTTGAACCATCGCCCACAATCCTGGGTACAATTGCGGGATTGACTTTTGTAGTATTCTTGGTAGCCATTTTTGAATTTGATTTTTATTACCTCGTTCGTTGTCAGTTTTATAAGTTCTTCTTCCAGTTGGGGTGATACTGCTACGATGACATTTGAAAAAGGATCTAACACCCAGTGTAACCTTTCAATGAAACACTGTGGAGACTTTCTAAATAGTGGCAGTAGACAAGCGGGATAAACTGGGAAAATTATGGAACTTACGTCAGCCGATATTCTTCTTGTGTAAGAGCAGCTTGGCTACGAAAGCAGCGATGACATTTTTTTGTTTTTATTAAGTTCAAGTCATCGCCTTAAAGTTGGAAATTCATATCATCAAGCAATTTATAAAGGTCTGTCTGGTATGCAATATCATTCTTTGTTATGATGTGGTTGTCGCGCAATTCTGTGTGTTTGTTTTCCAAGTTCTCTACGACAGAGTCAAACCGGTTGTAAAATCGGGTCAGACAATTTCCTTTTTATAGCTAACGCACTTCTTGAAATCTTCATCATTGTGGTTTAAAACATTTATTCCTCAAAAGAATACAATTCACTTATCATGAGAAATAACAACTTAATCTTAGATACTAAATACATGAACTTATGAAGAACGGCAGGTACTCGTAAATGATCTGTTATTTGCATTAGTAACACAAAGCTGATTAAATAATCTGTCATTTAAAGAGTTGTTTCGGATTTTATTGATTGTTCTGATGAAACTGTCTGCAACGATTGAAACAGTCGTTCGCTTAAATTTTTAGCAACCAAATATTGTCTATGTATAACCCAATGTACAGAAATCACATCTGGAATTTTGTTTTTTAAGTACGCTATGAAGCCTTTTTAACACCCCGTCACATAGCTGGAGCACCATCTGTAGCAATTGATATAATATTCTTCAAGGGAGTTCCTGTTTCATCACAAAACTTTAAATATAGTTTCTCATTTTGTGTCTGTCTCTAAATTTCTAGCAAATCTTTAATAAACTTCACGTAAGGCAGCAACTATGCTTCATTAGTTGGTTGGATGATTGCACAAGGACTCTTCAATGTTTTCAGTCATCAATTCGTCCTTGCACAGAACTATTGCTCAAAGGAATTTTTCGAATTATGTCTGCCGTCAGTTTATGGAGCACAGTAGTTATAACTTCTTTTATTGCCGGCAAAATTAACGTTTCTCCGATGGTGTGTGGTTTACCTGTTTGAGCAATTAACAAAGAGATATTGTAAGAAGCTCGAAGTCCGTATTCGTCTTGTTTAGTAGCTAACGAAAACAGTTTTGATAAACTTGGCTGAGCATTATGCTTCTTTTCCAGGTCTTGAAAATAGGCTACATTTTAGTCCTTATCTGGATGCATTTTATTCAAATGATCTTGAAGTCTTCAAGGCTTCATCGCTTCGTTTGAAAATGTATTTGAACAAAGAAGGCACAAAGGCAAAAAATGGATTTGTCGAATTTTCTATGAATCCATATTTAATATATTGTGCACAATATTGCCGTCTCTTCTTTTTGCTTCCAACATGGCTTTGTTTTTACAAATATGTAAATAAAGTGTTGAACTTAAATACTTGTTTAAAAATTGCGCGTGTAACCACTAATGAAAATATAAAAATTATTACGAGCTTTTATATAATATTTAAATACAGCACGCACCGGCAGGAATAAGATAAACACGCACAAACAAGTCTAAGTTTATTTCCTATTTTATCTACTGTGGATATTATATCCACCGGTGTGCCCATGCTCGAAGAGTGGATAAAACTAAGCGAGGGGATAAACATTTTCTCCTTTCCCCGGGGATAAAATTGTCTCCTGCGGATGCAAGCCCTACTGGTGATAGAGCGCTAGATGGTAAATCGCACTATCATAACGTAACAAAAGCCTATTCATTCTTGGCTTAAAGACATCCACATCGTAATCAGACGCAGGCAAATAATTCCACTTTTTTGTTGTACTTCTTGTACTATTATTTATTCTGTGGTTGTACGCACTAAGGGAGACGTTCATCGGTAGAGTCCTGTCGATGCAATCATGTTGCAACCGTTATAATATATTATAGCTGCAGCGTATTTAAAAAAAAACTGAGAAAACGTAAGAAATATACAACATTATAATAAAAATAACTGTCATAAAAATAAAGTGTAAAGACAAGTGATATTTTTTTAAATTTTGTATTAAAAAAAAAAATTAATGAACCACCTTTTTTTGTATGCATTTTTCTACATTGTCATCCGCTTCTGAGCTATGTTCAACATTTTAAGTCGCTAGCAAATTGGAAAGTGCACGAAATTTGATTTGCTAAATTCCACCCGGAATGACAGACAGGCAGACAAACAAGAAAGTGACTTAATAAAAACGTGATAATAATAGTTTATTTCTAAGATTCGTTCCGATAATAATTTAGGATTGTTTTGCCTTTTAAGAGTTCCGTAGTTAAACTAACAATGAACCCTTACAGCTTCGACCGACCGATCAAATGAAATCTGCAATTTGGCATAAGGGAAACTACTATTTAGTATCGCAAATATGGCAAATGCCCTTTATCCTCCCCAAGCGAAGAAGGCCTATATTCAGTAGTGGCCTTTGATAGGCTGTAACGATGATGATAATGAAGATGAAGAATCAATTGTGTAAGCAATAGAGCAAGTTCTCACATTATTGTTAAATTTACAAAAAAAAATGCTTTGGCCCTGAGATACCACGGCTATAACTATATATTATAAACCAGATGTGACATCGATTTTGGTGAGGTGACAAAAAAAGGCCGTGAAGTTATCGGTCAGTGTTAAAACAACTGTTACTCGAACAGTAACGTAAGTATACAAGGAAGGGAGGCGTTATTTCTATTCTACTCCATTAGTTACATAAAGTGTGCGGTGTCAGCGTAAGAGTCTAAGGCCCGTATTAATAAACGTTACTCAACGACGAACTCAAGTGCGTAATCATTTGATACGCCCTCATTACGATATCAGTATCTCAAGATCGTTGCTAACTAATAAACACATAAAAACAGTATCTCAAAACGCTGTAATTAAGAATTTTGTTCTGTGACTTGCACTCAAGTACACACACTTGAGAGTCGAGTTTCGCTTATTAATCAGTGTGGCACTCAGGTGATATCGTAAACCTAAACCGCATCTTGAGATATGTTTATTAATAAGATCATAACCTCAAGATCGTACGCAAGTGCGTGTACTTGAGCTGAGTAACATTTATTAATACGGGTCTAAGAATCTATCGCCCTATTTCGTTCCGTAATCTTAGAAAGAGACGGTTATGGGAAATGGCAGATAATTACAGATCCTATGGCTTCCGATAGATGGCGGCGCAATCATCTTGTTACGACCGGCTATATTCAGACCGCCTACGGGCAATAGCGTCAAATGTGCTAGACGTTTGATACTCTACTCATTAATCAATCTGTCAAGCATGATGATCAAATCTTCCCTAAAACTGGAGAAGCAGAGGAGTCCAAATGTGGAACAAGCTGATGAAGAAGATCAACAGGTGGGTTATAGATGTTTTTAGATATTATGTGACCACAGTGAAAATTATAATTTAAACTAACAAGTTTTATACATGGTAGCGCCATGATGCAGCTATATAAGTCCTATAGTTGTAGCACGAATGGGTCGGCTCGACCGGGGAAGAATCATGCTCTCACAGAATACCAGCGTAACATAGCAGCTTAACACTGCTGTGTTTCGTATGCTGTGCGTGTAGTAAACCGGAGACCCTTTTTACTGGAAAAGAGGTATTCCATCTTAGTCCTCGCGGGTGACAACGCATCTGCATTTTGATTATTTATTGAGGATAGATGTAGATGTCTATGGGTCACAGCAATCACTTACCGTCATGTGGACTATGTGCTCCGTTGTCACCCTATCCTATAAAAAAAGTTACGCGACAAGTTACTTTCCTTCTATTATTCTACTCACACAAAATAGTAGGTCATCTTTGTAATCTACAGAGATGATCTTACAACTAGGTATCACTGACCATGAAATAAAACAATTTTGTTAATGAAGCCTCTTTATTAAATTATACATATTTAATCTGGGAGGAAAATTGTGCAATTCATATATTGCGTAGACTAATTAACAATATTAATTGTTAAAGCCCGATGAGTAGTACGGCACAGAAATTCTAAAACCTCGGACTGTCTGACGCATATCTTTAACCCCTGGTATATTTTTGTTCGATACGACAAATACATTGTTATGATACGAGTACTCGTTATTAACCAACCTCGAAGTATCGTCTAAGCCCGTTGTCTTGGCTTTATTTGCATTCAAAAGTTGATGTAATTTAGCAATGGTCGCAGCTTGTTCATCATGTTTCTTCTCATTTATTACAATTGGTAAATTCGCCGCACACACCCACATATAAAACATACCCACTAAAATATAATATTTCATTATTCATTCATTACAGACTATCAAAAGTCCACTGATGAAATAAGACCATATTTATGGATTATATATATGTTCGCACAAGATTATAGTGCGCGAGTGAGTGAGTGAGTGAGTGAGTGAGTTCTAGCTCAGTTCCCTTCCCTATTCCCTCACTCTCATCGTCCTATAGAACAGCAAAACGACCGGTGAGAGATCGGGCGCAGTACCAACGGCTTTAAGCATCCCAACTTCGTAACTCCGGGTTGCTAATGAGAATCTCTTGTTAGAAAATGTCAGTAAATGATTATGACTCGAACCCGGGACCACATGATCAGGAGTCGCGCTTATGACTAGACCAAAGGGGCAGTCACTTAGTACCTGATATGTACCTAGTATTTATATTATTATTTTGTGTTGTCATGAGGAAGATACTGTGTTGTTCACCTCCTGTTTTATTTCCCCCTGTTACCTCTTACGACACACACAGGATAATATAGGGCAGTGGATTCTCTCACGCTGCCACTAGACGGCTAATATATTGCATGAGTACTATAATGTTATTCTTTCATCCTTCTTTTATCCTATCTACAGTTATGGAGAAATAAAAGAAATGCTATTTAGATAGACGTAAAATTATAACATTCACACGAGTTGCTCAATTTGCACAATATGTTTTAAAGGAATATACAGTGGAATCCGTTTATAATGACATCGAAGGGAAATAACAAACACGTCATACTAAGCGGACGTCATATAAAGCATTTTGTAGAAAATAAACAATCTCCAGTTTTTGTTAGTACGAGTATGTATTTATTTAATAGAGAAAAATCTTTAATTAAAGTAGCTTAAGTTCTTAATAATAAATTCTTGTTTTTATAAATCACTGAGATTGTCGAGTGACCAACCCCAAATTCCCTTGCGAGAGATGAGTTGAATTCTCCATTTTCTAAACTGCACGTGCACTGGCGTTGAGATTTCATTTTCTTCACAAATCACTAACAAACAATGCCGTGACCTTCAACAATCAATTACAAAAAAAGCCATGCACGCGCCGAACGTCGTCGGGTATCAATTGACTCTCCTGAACACTGCCGAAGGTGTTAGGAATTTAGGAATCATGTCGGTCACTATAACCGGACACAATTTAGTAAAAATGGGTCACAATAAGCGACATGTCACTACAAGCGAAGTCATTATATCCGACTTTATTATTTTATTTCTTATTTTTTTCTTAATTTTTAAAAAACGTTACCCCCACACTAGGATTTTCTTCTGTATCGCGGAGGCAGTTTACAAACACAAATTGCACAAGGACAAACATCCAGACCCGGAACAATTATTTGTAGGCCGTACAAATATTTGTTCCGTGCGGGATTCGAACCCGCGGCCCCAAGCGTTGCAACTCTTGCTAAGCCACTACGCCACGGAATTTTATATGAAAACCAAACTTCGCTGTGTAATTACGTCATAATAAGCGGTTGGTCAATATAAGCGGAGTCATAATAAACGGATTCTACTGTACTAAGGGATGTAATATAAAATTATTATCATTTATTAAATTAAAATTAAAAATTAAAAAGCAAAACGTTCATATTTCACAAACTAGTGATGAGGTGCGGTATCACCAAGTCGCTGGTATAGACAACAACAGCTTACACCTTTCTAAAAGGCCGGCAACGCATCTGCAATTCCCCTGGTGTTGCGGTTGTTCATGGGCGGCGTTAGTCATTTACCATCAGGTGAGCCGCATGCTCGTTTGCCCCTCTTCTATGAAAAAAAGACTGAATAATTGTAGGGCTGCTCACAAAAATGTATTTCTAAATTACCTAGCCGTGGTAGCTTAGGGGCAAAGGTAAATTTCACAGTACGCGACCAACCCGGTTTCGATCCCGCTGGCACCAATGAAATTGTTAATTGCAAATTTAAGTGCTGATCTATCACACGCTCGGCGGTGAAGGAAAACATTGTGAGGAAAACTGCATGTCTGAGAAATAAGAAAAATAATATTTCGCAGATATATGTGAAGTTTGTCAACACGTGTTTGGGCAGCGCGGCGGATACTTCCTTGCCCTAAAACCCTCTAGGCAATGCGAGGAGTTCTCTGCCCAGTTGGGGGACGTATATATAGGCTGTTACTATACCAACTATAAACTACCTAGGTACATTTTTAATAAAAAGAAAAACATGCGTGAGTGTCGTGGAACCAAGTTCCTTACGTAGTATATTCTTAATTATTATTGATAAAAATATTATGTTATTGATTAATAAATACAAATAAATGAACTACTAGCGTCTATTAAAATGAAGCGTCATTCAAAATAATATTTCATTCGTGGCAAAATACAAAAAGTGCGAGGGAGATGGATATTATTCCATCTCGCTCGCACTATAGAGAGGGGGTCGTGACGGAAAAATCTTACACTTTTTCTCGCCTAGCCCCCATCCATCAAATTCGTAATGTGCGATAAGGAACTTAGTTCCAAAATTTTTAACTTTCTTACCTATAATTAATTTTGCGCATGCTTCTAAAATAGATTTTTTTTTAAAAAAAAAGTAAGTTAAATAAACTATATGTAGTGTAGTTCATTTTCTTATTTTTAGAGATATTAAGATTAGTGATAATGTTAATAAGATGACAATTTGTAAGTTAAAATACATTACACGTAAGTTAAAATGCATAATATATACACTCAAATCTAAACTTACATAAAACGAAACCTCCGACCACACTCACTGCTATAAGAAGACCAATATCCATTGTGTTTTGTTTTAACATCAATAACATTGTTGTTACGAAGGTGGTCAGGGCAATGAGACGCACCAATTCGACTAATATATAAACCACCATGAGAACATTGTTACACTGTAAGTAATGTAATATTATGATCATATAACAATAACGTCACTTTTTTGTAAATTTATAATATAAAGTTAGTTTGCAAACCTATGCGGCTTACATAGCCTATTCTTTATTTAAATTACAATTATAGCATATCCTGTAAGGAGTGTGTATGTGAAAAAACGTGCGTTGTAAACTTTCTCTCTTCTCAATGAAAAAATGTTAAAATTAATTTTACCTTTAATAACAATAATATGTATATACATCAAAAACTAGGTCTAAAGCCTGTATAAACAAAAAAATATTCTCTTCACGTAAATTACCCGCAACTTCAATGAATCTCTTCATTGAAGTTGCAAATCTTTGCTTTATTTCGTTACTAGAAGGAGAAAGTCTTCATTATAAAGAGTCCCTCCTTCTCAATGAAGTCGGCCATCTGTTGGCTCCTTGGGTTCCGTTGCTCTATTCCGAATTTCCTGGCGTCAGTTCGGAGGCTACGTGCTGTTTAAGTCATTAGAAATCATCTCGCGCGCAGATTTGACAAGATCCAGCCTTCTGAACAATTGTAAAGAGTACAGTTTGCCACTTAGCCTTATGTATGTGGACCATGAGAAAGTATTTGCTCTCGTCGAAATGGGGGTTATGCGACGACGACTACAATCACTTCAACAGGTTTTACTCGGTGATTTGACAAGAGAGGGTTATGCTCCAATGAGATTCTCATTATGATAGACTTCGTAATGAGTATAACCGCAATAGAACAATAGTAACCGGTGTAGCAAAACGAATCAGTAAACTGAAGTGGCAATGGACCATTCACATATATCTCAAAGACTGGCAACCGATGGGAAAGAAAGAATCTCGAGTGGAAGCCCCGTATCGTCTTGTGACTCAGAACCGTGCTTTGTGGTATTTTTTGGAAAGATCTATGTTTAGCAGTAATGGCTGCCTTCACTTATGATGGGATGTATTACTGGTGATGTACCATTTCACATTAAATAAAAGTACATTTTGATATTTGAAGTATTTTTTTTACTTTATAAAAGCTTTGGCTGCCCCAGGGCCCTGGCATGTTCTAAGTCGGCACTGATTCAAGGCTTGTCCCCCGTAATAATTATTAACTGTAGGTATATATGAAAGAAAACTTTTTTTAAAACCTACCTTGTAGGCTCCGTACACATATAGCAAACATATTATAATGTAGATGCACGTCAATACAATGATTATTCCAAGAGCCTTTTTTGGATCTATAATTGAAAACATAATAGAAGTTAGTCTAACGTAGTGTTAGGTTTTATAAAAATAAAAATCAACGAATGACATTAAACCTGTTTGCAAAGTTTCAACGTAATCCTTTGTGTATATCAGATTAACGTCGTTTATCCAAACTGCTATTTTTTGTTTAATTTTTTCCGGTTCAGAACACCCAACACCACAAACTATCAAGAGGATAATACCTTGTATCTGAAAAAATACTATTAATAAATTTCCCGCCTATTAATGTCTAGTAATTTAATGAAACATTGATCTACTCACCGCTGAAAATATTCCGATTAAAATACCGCCTAATCTAAGTGAAAACCAAAAGCAACAACTATAAACCCAAGCCATTTGCTAAGTTCGACTACGACTGGCAAATAATGTTATTCGATTCAAACTCATATTAAACGATAGAAAATAAGGTTAAGCTTTATTGCTCTTCCATTACACTGAAGTCACTGAACATAAATATTTTATGTGACTGTAACAAAGCTATCAGCGGTTTTGAAAACCAAACTTTAATTGCTGTTATTACGTATTGATTTGCCCGAATTCTATGCGTAGTAATGACATACCTAACTGTAGATATTTGTATTTAGGTATGGGGTATGGGGTATGTCTCCTGAAGCGGACAACGATGTGAGATTCTGAAATTCGTTCATATTTGGCCTTATTGTTCATGCAGAAGGTGTGAATGTAAACAAACATTTATTTTAGATAAGCTTAGATATATGGACTTCTGAAATTGACGTAATCGGAAGGACGGATTTTCGAATTAAACAAGAAACTATTAATCTTAACCAGAATCAGCATACAGGCAACTGAACAGGCAGATCTTTAAATGCATGCGGCGAAACTTAGTCCATTAAAGAGAGATTTTAAATCGACATTTGTTGTGAAGGCTGATTTTAAAAAAAGTCTCACTACACATCCACCTTGACTCTGATCTCCCGATCCCCTAAGTATCACTACGCTATCAGATATAGGTTTTGGCATACGCTCGTTAGCAAACACTGTCATAGGAGGTGCTACTTGACCAACAGCATTTGCAATTAGTAAAACAGTCGAGTTTTGTTTATCATTATCATATGTGGTATACCTACACATTCTTATCACTCCGTCTTACTAAGATACGACCAGATTTTGGTGATAAAAATAATGAACTTTATAAATATCGAATGCAAAAGCAAATGCTTAAAGTTTTGCTCTGATGGTAATTTTTAATCTCAGTAAACCAAGATTTGATTTGTTTTTCAGTGACATTATCTCGTATTGTTATTAGATTTTGTGCAGTTGGTTCCTAAATCTCTGAATTTCTTTTATGAAATGTTTGGTACTACGTTTTTCTAGGGCGATTGTTAGTAAAAGGTGTTTTCTTGTTGTCTTTAATTATTATTTGATGCACAACTGTCCAGTAACTGTTCTCGTGATATAGAAAAATGTCGATCGGCTAGAGTAAAAAGTCATTATACTAATATCGTAGCTGGGCCCATTGAACAAACCGCGGGTCTTGTCCCCGTTATCTTATTTTTAAGTGTGATACACCATATTTGGACGCTGTTGTACTCACTGCTTCTCCTCTCTTGACCGCCTCTACATCACCACGCATTTACAATAATATATTATTACAGTGAAACCTGGATAACTGGAACCTTAAGGCACCTGCAAATTCGTCTCACTTAAAGAGGTATAGCACTTACCCAGTGTCTCAGATATCCAGGTATAAATAAATATCGGTCTCATTTACAGAGGGTTCCATTAATAGAGGTGACAATAGAGGTTATTTCAGTTATAGAGGTGCAATTATTAAATAATATAACGTATTTTGTAAACATTATACATGAGTTGTAATCTATATAAACAATACAAAAATATCATACAGGATGCGTCAATCAAAAATATCTGTTATTTTAGTTTGTCTTTGGAAGTATCAGCTGTAAGATGTTTTTGAATGTTATAAATTTAGATCGGGCATATTATTGTGAGATTGTGAGCTTTACCTACAATTGTCAACAAACATCAAAATTTTTCGTTTCTGGGACTTCATTACTTGATTCAAATTCTTCATCCAATCGGCAAAAATAGTAGATGTCATCCAAGCTTTTGATTATTTTGCTAATTCACAGGCAAAGTTTTAACATCTTTGAAACATAAACAGCCGGACAATAACAAAACCAAACTAAAACTAGAGGTTATTTTTATCTACACAATTCGCCAAGTGCGGAATTTGTGGGTAGAATAAGAATTAGTAAACAAAACGGTACTCAAAATATAGTCTTAGTGAAAGAGGTAAAATATTCTCGCTGTCTCAATTATAAAGGTAATTATGACGAATAAAATCGAAAGAACTAATCCCTAAAATATGGGGTCAGTAAAAGAGGTAAAATACACTCGCTGTCTCAATTATAGAGGTAATTATGAAGATAAAATCGAAAGAACTAATCCCAGATATAAAGGTTTGTTTTGTCTCACTAACAGAAGTAATTCAGTGCTAAAGTGTCGGGACCTACGCATGAGTTCCAGCTATGGAGGTTTCTCACTTATCCAGGTCCCACTGAACCAAGTTATACTGTATGAAAAAAATAAAATTAATGCAAACAAAAAGAATTAAAGTTTTATTTGAAATCCATTAATAACAACCAATGTTGGATATCCATGTCCATGACCATCCACGTAATAATACCATAAACCTTAGAGTACAACTTGGCTAAAACAATTAGGCGCATGACAGGAATGTGGTTTCGGCGCCCGCACCCTTCCTTCTATCTCTGTGCTTCCCCTAGTGACCAATCACCGTTCTGATGTTCCTCCCTAGTTCTAATGACGCCTTAGCTGTCATGCACCTAATTGTTTTGGTCACTATGGAGTGTAGAGGTAGGTCACGTAGTATAAGTAAGTAAGCTGTAGAGCACGCGTATTGCTCATTGCCCATTATGCCAAACGTCAGACGCCTATTGTTTGTGTATTAGTTTAAATTAGGTGAGTATTTATTAAAAAAACAGGTACGAATTTATAAAACGATGTTTATTATATGTAATCAAACACAAAAATCTAATTAATTTACTACCCCTTAAAAAGGGTTCACTAATTACATAATTGTCGTTTTGTTTGCTTGATCGCAGTTTTACGTGCAAGATCATCATCATCATCATTACAGTCCTTTACAAGTCCACTTCTGAACATAGGTCTCCCCCAAGGAATGCCACAAAGCACGGTATTGAGCCACCTGCATCCAGCATCCATCGACTTCCTGCATGTCTTACCAGGTCGTCCTCAATCTAGTGGGGTGCCACCCTACACTTCGCCTACTAATACGAGGCTGTCAATCGAGAATCTTTCTGCTCCATTGGTTGTCATTTCTCCGAGGTACCTATATGGCCGGCCCATCGCCACTTCAGTTTACTAATATTTTGGGATATATGGGTTACTCTGGTTCTACTGCGGATACTTTTATTTCTAAATATAGCCGAGCTTGCTGAGTGACCTTGAGCTTCATCATACGGCCAGCAGTAAAGGAACACGTCTCAGATCCAGAAGTCATTACTGGCAATACGTACTGGTTTGCAACCTTGTTTTCAAGTTTGAAGAAGAGAACATGTGTCGTAATCTTCCGTACGCTGCCAAGCCGAGTTAAATTCATCGATTGACCTTTCGCTCGAAGTTGGACTTACCTAGTCGGACTATTACACACACATACATATATACACACGTAATTACCTAGATACCTACATAACTGCCGAAGCTAGTTCTTCAATCGCTTTTAAATAAGTATAATCTTACTTTTTTTTTTTTTATAGGATGAGGGTGACAAACGAGCACACAGTCCACCTGATGGTAAGTGGTTGCTGCGGCCCATAGACATCTACATCTATCCTCTGTTACAAATCAAAATGTAGATGCGTTGTCACCCGTGAGGACTAAGATGGAATGCCTCATTTCCAGTAAAAAGGGCCTCCGGCCACCTGCACTCACCAAGCGAAACGCAGAGGTAACTTAGAGGTACTTCAAATTTAAACTCTGGTATTGTCCTCCAACTAGCTTGCGCAGTCCACCCTTGCTTTCAAAAATATACGAAGCACTAAAATCGATGAAACAAACGAAAATCCTGATGTTGGGCTCCCAGTTGGGCCTTTTTATCACTACCACTCATTTATTTGCCAATTCATGGATTTTCGGAAATGTAAAATTAGAAAAGTATTTTAACCGGATCTACCTTTAAAGCACCTTAAAAAAAGCTATTCAAAAATGTTATTTTAGACAATCAAATAAATATGGATTATGAGTACAAAGTATCTGAACTTCTTATACTATAATTACATTATAATTATTACGAAAATAATCATTTTATTAAAGAATATTCAAGTACAACGTGGCACAGCACTAGCTCTAATTCGGGGAAAACCCGAAGCGCGAGACGCAGGGCACGTGCTGTGTCACCACAGACACGCGCCTTCCGCTACACCCTTTGACACCCTAAGTAATTTTGTTAAAACCAGTATTTTCTTATTAAGATATTACATACCGATGAAAAAAATTTCATTGTTCTTCTTAGCTTGCTTCCGTGAATCGTTTTTACACATCGGCACTGCACATTTCACCATGGTAACTTAAAATTCAAATAAATAACGCCGAGAGCTCGAGCGACATAATTGACGCGAGTGACCTTTTGTGATTTGTGAATAATAACGTCGTACTTGCCATTTGCCGTGTAGTGGCGGTTAAGAATATCCACTACCCCATAGCTTCCCGTGGGTGTCGTAAAAGGCGACAAAGGGAAACAGGCAGGAGATGGGCAGCAGCATCTTCCTGGTAACGACAAAATACAATAAAAAAACTGCGGTTGCCAACCCGCTCGCCAAGCGTGGCAACTATGGCAATATACCCCCCATAATGAAAGTTACGAAGAGACGGCCCCCAGTCCCCGGCGGCCCCGCTATTCCTGGCTACGGTGGCGACCATGGTAACGGCGGGGCAGGGGGTGCTAAGAATCTCCGGTGGAGGTTCGGTTGCCACCTACAACGACTCGACCTGGCAACATACAACGCACGCACCCTGAGGACTGACGAGAAGATTGTGGAGCTGGAAGAAGAGATAGACAAGTTACGCTGGCATATTATAGGATTATCCGAAGTCCGAAGAGAGGGGGAGGACACGGTAATCCTCGAATCCGGCAACTTGCTCTATCACCGGGAGGGCGACCATCTGTCCCAAGGAGGTGTCGGATTTATCGTCCACAAGTCTCTCGTTAACAACGTTGTAAAGATTGAGAGTGTGTCGACGAGGGTTGCGTACCTTATACTCAGAATCACCAAACGGTATTCGCTGAAGGTCATACAGGTTTACGCACCAAC